AATCAAGAAGTGTAGCATTTATATATGAACTTGTTGCAGGTTTTTCGGAATTTGTAGTTTTAGAAGTCTGCCCTTGGTCATGAATAATAAACAACTTGCCATATCCTTGGTGACATTCAGATATATTATTAGTTTCAACACAGGATTCATATTCATGATTGGAAAATCAATTTTCAAAGGCAACATATTAATTTGTAATTTTCATGTAATTCCATTTTTGAGATCATAATTGTATGAATTTCCAAGTAATTAAGTGGTATCCAAGTTGTGCTCTACTGATTCCAATTTGGATATCTTCCAAGGCTATATCTTGGAAAATCTGAATAAGTTGAGATGGACAAGATAATCAAGAGATAATCATAACTTTTTTTTTTTTTCCATATTGAAAAATTTGAGGATTTAAGATATAAACAAGTATTTATAATTACTAAAGGCCGTATCTAATTAAAGATATAATGAATAAATTTAACTAAAAAAATAGTGGGAAAAAAAGACCAAGACAACAAAATATTTAATATCTCACTGAATTTTATTTAATCAGCTCTATATATAGAGCTTAGTTCAAACATCACAATAATACATCATATATTACACAGACGAGAAGAAGCTCTACATAGAGAGCCTGCTCTTTATAGAGAGCTTATTTTTTAAACATACTCATCAAATCATTCCTAGGTGTATATCATGGTAATAAAAGTCAGTAACACCAACAATTATTACCACACACTTATTCATGATTTGAGTTTATTTATTTATATAGAGTTTGTTTTTATTTAATAATAGTACACTGGTGATACATATACACACACATATATATTAAGGTGTCGTTTGGTAAAATCCAATCGCATTCAGGTAATCACCGCTGGTTCTTCCTACAAATCCAGAAATATAGGCACCAGCTGGGATTTGGTAACTGAAAGGTGTGCCTTTTTCAACTCCGTATGGTCCATAGGTTTTCTGGTCGGTCTTTAATGTAATCGAGCGTATCACAAGACTCGTTGGAGTGGCAGGAGACAGAATATCAATGTACCCACTCACTTGAATTATCCTCTCCTCTGAGAATTTAAAGGAAGCCTGGATTTCAAAGATTAAAAACAAAAAAAGAAAATTATATAATATAGCCATTCTATATCGTTATTTTTTCGCTATATAGGGCTTTCACATAATTTATCTAAAAAATAAATAAATAAATAAATAAATAGCAGACTAACATTTGCTGTAGTGTAACCGGAGTCACCACTTAGATGTTTGATCTCTTGAACGGGATTACCGTTCAAGTCGTAGACAATACAAAAAGACCCGATTGCGTCCTTGAGTGTAAGGTTGATACTTCGAACTCCAGTGAAAGATCCGGACCCATCATCCCAAGGATGCCCGTCAGGCCCTCCAAATGGTCCAATTAATACTGTAGGCTGCAAAATAGTTTTGAAGGGACAGTTAAATATTCAAATACACACACACACACACACATATATATATACATATATATATATATATGTATGTACATATATTTACAATATTTCATTGTATTATATCACCCATAAGCTTTAAATACTTCGTCGACGTTTCTATACACACAACAAATACAGACTGTATATATAATATGGAATCTGCTAAACTGAAACTAATTTCAGTTTTGTTTTTTTCTTTTAAAGAAAAAGAAGATCAAACTAACTTCGCTCAATGTTGGAAAATCGATCATGACCGTACGTAAAAGGATCATTATTTCGAACTCTTCTTATGCTTTTCCTTTTCATACGTGAAAAACCTTAAAGAATGCATGAAAAACTGATGTTTTTTTTTCATCTATATCGTAAGTGTATATGTGTTTCTGTGTGTCACAGCAAAAAGCATATTTATAGATAATGACCCTCACCATCGTTTGCTTCTTCAATGAAGACGAATGTGGATTTGGATATGGAGAAGTGTGTGGGTTTACTGGGTTGGCTTAGCGCTCTATATATAGAGATATAGCAGCAACTAACTTATTTGGCATTTAGTGCTTCTTAAAGGTTGAAGGTTTAGGTAGATAGATGGTTTGACAATGATCATGGATGTAGAAAAGTCTATGAATAGCTTTGACACGTAAAATATCAACGAAAATATTTAATTGTTTCTATGAATGCAGACCTGAAAATGGACAAAATAACGTTTGGTGTATTTTGATATATCTCATCTTTCGGATTCTTCTGTACTGCCAGGAAAATATTCCTGGCACCGGTGATAATTATTGTAAAATTTTATATTAAAAACTTACAAACTCAAATAATAAAATTGTAAAAATTACGATAATTTGTGAAATTTGAATTTTATAATAATTTACGTAAAAACTTACAAACTCAAACGATTCATCGTAAAATTTAAAATTTTACAAATTATTATTCGAGTTTGTAACTTTATCATTTGAATTTGTAAATTTTAACGTAAAATTTTACAAATTATCGTATCTCCCGTAGAAAAAAAGTGCACTGGCAACATAAAAAGACCCTCTCTCATGTTATTACAAGATGATTCTCTGGGAGATATGTGTGTGTGTATATATATATACACACACACATGTTGTTTGGGAATTTTGGCGGAAGTTCAAATATGCCATTTTGATTGAAGTCTTTCTTCCCTTTTTTCTCTCTCTCCTTTCTGCTGCAAACCAAAGATCAACATGAAGGGAAGGAAAAAAAATTGACAAATCTATGATCTTGTTACGAGTGATGATTAGAGCAAAGTGCCTGTCATACAAAACAAATAAAAATAAAAGCAACTGACAAAAGTATTTCTTTTTTTGTTTTTGTTTTAACTAGCCATAAGCGTAGAACGTGCCTTTGGCACGTGCTAATTAGTAACAATATAAAACATATACAAAATGATTATGTGAATATTAGATTTTGGAAATGCTGGGAAAAGAACAGGTTGAGTTTTTTGTGTAATTTCTTCCAAATGAATTCCATATAAAAAAAGTAAATCAAAAACAAAATAAAGCAAAACAAAAGAAAACCTTACAAGTGATCTATTTTATGATTTTTTTTTATTTGAAAAAGAATGTAAATAGTAATATTTATGTGAATAGTAAAATAAACTTGTAATTTTTGTCTCATGAAATTTGACGTTATTAATTAGCTATAGCTACGAAAAGACTTATAAAAGATAACAATATATATATATATATGTATATATGTATATATAGAAAATAAGCTTATTTTTTCATTATAAATTTTGTTAAAATGGCTAGTAGATGTTTATTTCTTTTCTGTTACCTATTATTTATTTTTGGTTTCTTCGCTTGAATTTTTTTTACAATATCTTTTTTAAAAAAAAAAATACTTTCTTTTAATTCCTTTTAAATATCTTTCTAATTAAGTTTTTTTTCCCTCAAAATATCCTATATAACGTTAGTTCTTTCTTCTTCTTTTTTTAATTTTATTTTTTCTTAAATTTTCTTGTTTATTTTTTCTTCTTTTCTTTTGCGTATGATTTTTTTTTCTCCTTATATTCTTTGTTAATTCATTTTTATAATATTATTTTTTGAAATACTTTTTCTTACTTTTTTTAATTAAAATAATCCGTTCAAGTGTACCCCTATTTAATTTCTTTTAAATACTTCTTTTCCCTCTTACTCCAATTAGTAGATCTATTACTTCTAAAATGTAATATGTGCTTTGACTTGATATTCTATTGGTAAGAGATGAGAATAAGGGTGGCAATTTGTGTTAACTAATTTATTTGGCATTTAGTGTTAACTAATTTATTTGGCATTTAGTGCTTCTTTAAGGTTGAAGGTTTAGCTAGATAGACGGTTTGACAATGATCAGGGATGTAGAAAAGTCTATGATTAGCTTTCACACGTAAACTGTCAACGAAAATATTTGATTGTTTCTATGAATGCAGACTTGAAAATGGACAAAATAACGTTTGGTGTATTTTGATATATCTCATCTTTCAGATACTTCTATGTTGTCGGGAGAATATTCTTGACACGTTCTAGGAGATACGATAATTATTGAAGTCTTTCTTCGCTTTTCTCTTTCTCCTTTCTGCAGCAAATTGTCCAAACCAAAGATCAACATGGAGGGAAGGAAAAAAAAATTGACAAATCTGTGATCTTCTTACGAGTGATGATTAGAACAAAGTGGCTGTCATGCAAAATAAATAAAAATTGCAAGGTCTATTTTTCTCCTGGTCTCACAAGTGATATTACAATACTGGTTATGACATTGGAGATATGTTAAGTATTTCGGACTGTGTATTCAGTAAATAACTATGCAGATAGTAAAATAAATTTTTTATTTTTGGTTTCTTCCCTTGTATTCTTTTTGTTACAATATCTTTTAAAAAAAAATACTTTCTTGTAATTCCTTTTAAATATGTTTCTGATTAAGCTTTTTTCCCTCAAACTAAAAATAAACAATATAGGAGTTTTATAAAATTAAAAAAGGAGACAAAAAAGAGACCAAAAGAAAAGAAATTACAAAAAGTAAAGAATAAAAACAGAACATCAAAGAAAAAATGAGAGGTTGACAAATGGCTAAAAGAGAAATACATTTTTTACTAGTTTTTCCTTTTTTAAAACCTTTTTTTCCTTTTCTTTTGCTCATTGTCTTTTTTTTCCTGACTATTCTTTGACAATTTATTTTTTTTACAATATCATTCTTTGAAATATTTTCTTTTCCTACTTTCTTTTAATTAAAATAATTCTTTTTAAATAATTTGCTACTTGAGTTTCTTTGGTGAAAAATTCTTTTATTATTTTTAATTCTTTTTTGATGTGATTTTTTGAAATATTTTTTCCCGAGAGAGAGATGAAGATATAATGCAAAGATTATATTAATTAGATGTTTGCATTCTTCATATTCCTAACTCTATCCTTACTAGATGACAAAAGAAATAATGTAAAAAAAAAAATAGATATTATAAACAAATTAAAATAAAGAAAAAAATTTAAAATTTATGTCTCCAAAATCATCAAAATTTCTCAATATTCTTCCCAATTACACTACATGCAAACTGATATCAACATTTTGACTTGTGTTTACATATATTTTTGATATTTTCTTAATATTTTGCCGATCAATAGAACCTTAAAAATTTGGAATTTCCACTGAAATTTTGACAAAATTTTTATCCATGAGTGTTAGAAGTTTTCTAAAAGAATTTATTCCACTCGGTAATCTTAAAAAATATTTATTAAAAGTATGCGGGTCAGGATTTTTACATTTATTTTTTATTCATAATTTTTTAATTAAATAATTATATTGATAAAAAAATATTTATCAAAAATAAAAAATAAAAAACTAAACTCATGCCCTTAAAGATAAATTCTTTGTTTTTTTTCATTCCAATATTTTCACCTTTATAAACGGCACGCGTGTTTTCATCTAAACCTAACATCGACTGGCACTGTCATTTTAAGAACCATTCGCCAAACAACAATAAATCTAGGGGCAAAGTGAAAAGCCGAAAATTAACCCCATAATTGAACCGCCTCAAATGACACGTCAACATCTTTTATAACACACATACATATATATATATATATATATATAGGTAAGGTATCTGGTCAGGCACCCGTCAGACACTTATATAATTTTGCATAAATTATATATATTTATAGGTAAGTTATGTATATTTACAGGTAAGTTGTATATATTTAGAGGTAAGTTGTGTATATTTACATAACACTTATATAATTATATAATCATGTATATTTATATGTAAATCGTGTATATTTACATATAAATTGTGTATCTTAAGTTATAAGAAATGATAATGTATATTAATCTTCAAAACATGTATTTTTTATAGTAATTAGTGAACATATAACATGAAAATATATATATTGGTTGATTTGTTATATTTTATGTTAAATATACACGATTTTACATATAAATATACATGATTTACTTATAAATATACATAATTTATACACAATTATATAAATACCTGATTGATATGCCACTTTTTAAGTGCTGACCGGAGACAATTCTTATATATGTATGCATATATAAATACCTGCGAAATGTTGGCGCCCATTTCATTTCAACTAACTACCGTACTCTTGCAGTCTGAAACTCTCAGAGCTCCAGAGCCAAAGCGTAGGGTGACAATTTCTAGGGTTTCTTCTCTTCTTCGGTCAATTTTCGATTTTGAAGATGCAGAAGCTAGGGTTTCCAAGCATGAAGAGCTTGGATCAATTGAAGTGGCTGCGCGGATCGGTCTCTGGAGCTGCAAAGACCTTCTCCTTCTCATCGCGTCCTCCCGGAGATTCTGTGTCATCAGGAAGTTTCGCAAATTTGAAGCTCACTGCAGGTTATTCTTTCATTCGGAAAGTTTTTGTTGTTGGCTGATTTTCTCGGGAAATTCGGACGCTTTCTGAGACTGTTTTGTCGAATCTTCGATTTGTAGAGAAATTGGTGAAAGAGCAAGCTTCCGTAAAGACTGATCTAGAAATGGCGGTAAATCTCTTCGCTTCTATGATCTAGCAACTTTAAGCGTATGATGCGTCTTTGTGTTTCGTTATCTCATTGTTTTTTTTCCTACATTTGTGATCGTTAGAGTTTCGTGTGTATTCATCAACGAGATGCTGGCAATTTAATGTTAATTTGAGAAGCTAATTAAGAACAAAAAAAATTGCAGAACAATAAGCTGAAAAAATCAATGGAGCATATCCGTGCGTTGGAAGAAAAGCTGCAAAATGCATTTAACGAGAATGCGAAGCTTAAGGTGAAGCAGAAAGAAGATGAGAAGCTGTGGAATGGATTAGAGTCGAAATTTTCTTCAACTAAGACTTTGTGCGATCAACTCACTGAAACATTACAGCAATTAGCGAGCCAGGTTCATGATGGTAAATATTATTTGAAGCTCTCTTTTCGTTCAATTTTTGTTACGATTCAAATGTTCTTCAAAGAGGGAAAAAAAACACACACACACACACTCACACACAAAAGAGGCATAGAATGCTAATTTCTGTTTCCTGCTTTTCACAGCCGAAAAAGATAAAGAGTTCTTTCAAGGCAAACTATCTGCAAGTGCAATAGCTCTTGATAATTTGAATCAACAGATGAACGGCCTGTCTCTAAAATTAGACTCTGCAGGGGAAACTATTAGAAAGCGTAAGTTCTTACCTTTTTTGTTCTCTCTTTCTTGAATAAGGTATTTTATCTCTAACAAACACAGATTACACTGTATAGCTGCTGTTTGGAAAAGTAAAGTTGTTTATAGTTTCGTTTGACTGCTGATTCACAGTATAGCAAATTTCTTTGATTCTCTTACGCGCATCTTCCGATGGTAGGCGAAAAGGAGCTGGAGGAACTGAAAATCAAGAAAGAAGAAAGGGATAAGTGTTGCAGAGATGAAATGTGCAGAACAACCGTTCTCATAGAGGAAAAAGGTAGGCCTCTTGCTTGCTTGAGATTTCACTCGGAATTCTTATCCAGCTATTAACTTAGTTATAGCCTATAAAAGTACAAGTTTGGGACAATGTCGATCAATACAATTTATATACAGAAATACAGTACATCTTAGAATTAAAAACTGTTAATTCAAAATAAATTAACCATTTCGAATCTCACACCTTTAATCTATTGGCATTCACTTGTCATGTTGTCAATCTAAACCGCTAACGCGTGAAGGGTTTAATATATTAAAAATAGAGGAAAAACTGAACGAAATGCCCAATAGGATATAATTTTAGAAAAACTTTATAAATTAAAAATAATGTGCACGGTCAGAACATATCATTTGGAACCAAACATCATTTTTCTGAAAGGAAAATAAACTTAAATTTTCAGTTTCATGCATCAACAAGTAATTTATAAACTATAATAAATTACTTGCAACAATTGCAAGACCATAACACCATCGTAGTGGCCCGTATGGGTTTCGGGTCCTGCGCCCAATGATATGATCTCTATATCCCAATCACTAGGCCATCAGCGTTGTTACCATTTCTTAAAACATCTTATTTTAAAAAATATATATATGTTAAAACTGAATTCAGTTCATTATGGATTCAATAGCATAAATCATGTTATTTCCTCAAACTACTTTTCTTTATAAAACATGTTTTGTCTTAAAAACATTTCCATAGGCCAAAAGACTTTAGAGCAAAGCTAACAAGGATATGGACAAGGATATCCTACCTCTTGGATAGCAATTACACGGCTCGCTCTGAATTCAATAAATCCATTCGACTCGTTTCGATCCGTGTGCACAGTATCAGTATATTAGCGAAATTAAATATGTTTCTAATTAAGATTTTTTTTCTCCAAAATATCCTATATTACTTTAGTTCTTTTTTCTTCTTCTTCTTCTTTTTTAATGTTCTCCTTTTTATTTTTTTCTTAAACTTTTTTAGTTATTTTTTCTTCTTTTCTTGTGTGTATTATCTTTTTTTCCCCTTATATTCTTTGTTAATTCTTTTTTTTTTTTTTGGCAATATCCTTCTTTAAAATACTTTTTTTCTTACTTTTTTTTATTAACATTGTCCGTTTAAGTATACCCCTATATAATTTTTTCTTAAATATTTCTTTTCCCTCTTGCTCCAATTAGTGGATCTATTACTTCTAAGGAAGTCATGTCTTTTAGAGGGACACTATAGTTTTTTAGTTTTTTTTTAATTAAATTTAAAAAAAAAAATACTCATTCACCACATGTGATGTGAACAAGATGTCACCTGCCACCCCTCCAATGTCGTCAAACAAACCCGCCGGCGACCTCTGCAACTAAACACCACCCCCTCCTCCGAATATATGCCTGACGACAGGAGCACTGCACCTGAACTCACGAACCAACAATAAGTCGTAAAAACTAGTTCTTCCATAGTCGTTGATAAGCTTTTCATTTTCTGCAAATTAACTGCAGGGAAAAGCTCCTAATTTCACAACAAACGATCAAATAATAAAAATATCAGTAATTTGAATTTTTATTTTTATATTTTTATTTTTCCTTTTTTAATTCCATCGACTCAAAATCCACAAACCCAAAGACTCAAACCATTACTAATTTTCTTGTTCAGTTTTCTTCTCTCTTTCTTTTGTCTCTAGCTGCCCTTTTTTTAATTCCATTGCGTTTTCTTCTTTCTTTGTTTCAATTCTAAATGGCAGACGTTGATGAGCTTTTCATTTTCAGCAAATTAATTACGGGGACACTCAGATTATATTGTCAACACGCACATTTTCTGTTCGAGAAAGAAAAAATGTCCTCTTTTTTTCATTCATTTCAGCAAACGATCCCATCAGCCTTGGTTTCGGCTTTTTCCCTTGTTGGAATCAAATTCATTTTTAGCAAAAAAAGAAAAAAGATCCCATCATCCTTAGTTTCTATAAATTTGCTTCTCGTCGCCGATTTATCTTCCTATGTACCGACTTTTTGACAAATTTATTTACTTGTTGTTGTCTGGACAATTTACTCTTGTTCAGGTGTTTTCCTGCCTCTACTTGAATCAAATGCACTTATTAGCGACCAAAAAAACAAGAGTTGGATTTTTGTTCAAGAGAACCCAACTTGCTTTGCTTTTCTCATGCTTCTTTTGGAGCTTCGTTCTTTCTTTATAGAACTAAAAGAGTGATTCGTTCAGTAGAAAGAAAAAACTATTTTAAATTTATTATTATTATTATTATTATTTGTTTTTTTTTTGAAGATTCGTGTTTTTAATGAAATGAGTATGCATTTTATCTGAAGGATTTGGCTATGGAGGTAATGAATAAATGTGGGGAAGAAGAAAAAGAAGTGAGGATTTTGAATATTGAAAAGAACAACTTGCAATCTGATGTGGAGAATTGAAAAGCAACACTAAACACATTAAGATCTTTTTCACCATTCAAATTTGATCAAACAGTTCCCCAAAATGTGCTAGGGTCACTCTAGGGTCCGTTTAGTTCGCTGATTCTAGTTGAGATGTGACTTTATGTAAGAATTTTTTTATTTTAATAAAAAAGTTAAATATGACTATTTCTGAGAGTTTTTTATTATAACAAAACTCGAATCGGTGAAATGAACGAGGCCTAAATATTACTCTCTTTATTACTCTTTAACTTCTCATTTTGCCACTTATATTTTCATTTTCCTTTAACTTCTCCTTTTGCCACTTATCTTTATAATTTTCTAAGAAAAAGAAACAAAATTCTAAACCAATCTTTTACCCTTTATTACAACCATGCCACTGGATGAAGCCATTTAATTTAAAAGCAAGAAGTTATGATTATGCTGTTTAATCAAGCCTCGTTCAGTTTGTTGATATATTTAAGTTTTTAATTTGAATTGAAATGTGATTTTATGTGAGAGTTTTTTACTATAGCAGAAAAACTTAGATGTGACTTTTTGTGAAAATTTTTAACTATAATAAAATTAAAATTGAAAATTCGAATCGGTGAAATAAACGAGACCTTAATTTCCTCATTTTATAAATAAAAAACTATTATGTTGATTATTTTTATTTTTGCGTGTTATATTCTAAGCACTACACTATGTGTAAATGTCTTTTATTTTGAAAATTCTAATTATTTAATTTATTTATTCATAAAAAGATCTTGTTTTTTTTGCTAAATTTATAAAAAGATCTATTTAAATTATTTTAACCTGTTTGTTAAAAAAAAAAAAAAACAATCGTTTGTTTTAACTCTCCAGCGTTGTTGTACGGCAAGGCCAATGCCTGCTGGCATTGATTTTATTTACTTTTGTTTATGCAACAATTACTTTGTTTATGTATTTATTTATTTTTTTATACTGAATTTATTTTTTGGGTTCCAAAATTTAATATTTTAACATAACCATTTAAGAGCAAAATAAATGAGAATAAAAATATATACACTATATTATGATTATAAATTTACATAGCTACATGTTTTTTAATTAAAAAACTTCATCTAATGGCATGGTTGTAATAAAAGGTAAAAGGATGGTCTAGAATTTTTTTTCCTTTTTCTTGAGAGAATGAAAAGAAAAATGGCAAAAGGATAAGTTAGAGAGTAACAAAGAGAGTGATAAATAGAGTAATCCTAGTATTTCTTCTCTGCGTAAAGATTTTCATAACTCTGAGAATAAAATAATAATTCAAAAATATTTTAGTTTTGCCATTGCACAACTATCTCTCTTTTGCAAGCGTCAGCATAGCATAACCACTGGTGCGCTTTTGGCCAAAATCAGTAAGAAGTAAATCACTGCACGTAGGGGTGACAATTCATGTTAGTCGATCGTGTTTCTTTTAATCCGTTTATTAATCGTGTCAGAAAATATCAACTCAAATACAACTCGTTTATTAAATGTGTCAAAAATCACAACCTAAACACAACTCATTTATTAATCGTGCTAATTGTGTCAACACACATAACCTGTTTAAATTAATATATTGAATAAATAACTAATATAATAATGACTTATTTAACTCGGTCAAGGCATGTTTAACATGTTTATTGATCAATTTATTTTTTCCTTTAAGAAAAATAAATGAATTTTACCTACAAATATTAAAATTCACATTATTTGTATTTAATATGTCATATAAACTTTCAAGTTATATCTCATATCATTAGATTGCAGATGTAACAGATAGTTAATCGTGTCAATTCATGTCACTTCATGTTGGGAGGTCAACCCTAATCAAATCCATTTATTAATCATGTTAATCGTGTCAACTTGATTATGACCTAAACTCATTTATAGTAAACTTAAATCCGCTAACTTTGTGCGGGTCTTGAATCGTCTCATTGTGTCGTTACTCAAATGGCCAACCTTAACTACACGCATAAGATCTCCATCTTTCTCACTATAACACATCCTTTTTTAATATTCAACTACCTATAAGACATGCTTTTTTAATATTCAACTACCAAAATAAATATTCAACAACCTAAATGATTGTGAATATACATACCATGGCCATTTGTTCAACACCTGAACTTTTAATGTGACTACAAAATTGAAATTAACAACACATTTTTAGAAGATAAGGCAACACAAATTGAGAGTGATGGGTTTAGAGGACACTTGGTGACTAGTAAAGTTAACTGTTCGATTGAACCCGCGTCTTTTAATTATATTAGTTGAGTCACATGATATATACATGAAGAATAATTTTGTAAGTTTGATTCCGAGTCAAAATATGTGACCTTTTTAAAAATTAAGTCTATTAATTAGAGAAAGAGAAAAAAAATATTTCAAAAAATACATCGAAAAAGAATTAAAATTAATATAAGAGTTTTTTTACCAAAGAAACTCAAATAGTCAGATATTTGAAAAGAATTATTTTAATTAAAAGAAAGTAAGAAAAGAAAATATTTCAAAGAATGATATTGTAAAAAAATGAATTGTCAAGGAAAAAAAGACAATGAGCAAATGGAAAAATAAGGTTTAAAAAAACAGGAAAAACTAAAAATAAACAATATAGGAGTT